ATATTTTTGCTTCATTGACATTCCCAACACCAATGCGAGGTCAAAAATGCAGTCCACTGTTGCCTGAATGAGAACACCTTTGGGGAAAGCAAGGCTATGCGAAATTGAATGGAAACGTCAGCTCAATTCATATTATTGTAGGAAAATTCATCTTCTACCAGTCCTTCATCACCTCAAACGAAATTGGGTGAATATATCTCATACTACTGATTTACTGATAGTCACGAAAACAATACTTAATTCGAAAAATGAGAAGTATTCACCCTAATTCGTTAAGATCATGAACAGCCGCTAGTTGGATTTTCCCACAATCAGTTGAGTATACCTTAGGTTTCCATTGAATTTCGCATAGCCTTGCTTTCCCGAAAGGATGGGATGCAAAGCTATGTGAAATTCAATGGGAGCGTCAGATTTACTCATATCAACGTAGGGTGAAGACAGCTCATAGATCCACTTTACTGGAAGCCTTGAAACCCTACTCGAAACGAAAAATACATTCCTTACTCGTCTTTCCCACTCGGATTCCCGTCAATAGGGTACATTTGTGCTCATCCCAACCCTGACGACATTACAACATACAGATTGAGTAGGTGACGAGGCCATCAAATGAGCCCGAGTAAGCTGGCCAACGCGACTCTGGCTGTTGGGCGGAATCTACCGATGGTTCGCCAACAGTCTCATCCCCTCTCAGCCGGCCAGACCTTCTCCGCGAGTTGTCCTTACTGTCCGGGGCCCGTACCCCTACCCTCGACGCGCACATCTGCCTGCGTTAACGGCGGTTGGGCGTGAAACAGCTCGTAAAGCCAATGCTGCCACGGCGGACGGCAGGAGAGTGGCGCGAAGTTCGTGTGGGGATTGCGTGGCTCCTAGCAAGAGCTAAACCGACCTGTTAATAATGTCTGTTACCGGTTCTGCTCTATTCACACAATCATGCTACAGCTCGACCTACTGGCAGCACGACCATAAATGCCCCATTACCCCAAGGCCTGGCGATCCACTTCTCTCTGCAGTCCTCTTTTGCCCCAAATGACCCCAAATTGGGCCAGGATGACGTCGCACACGCACACGCACACGCAAATACACACGCAAAGCAGGTAGCGGTGATGGGAACACCCAAGTGCTAACACCCTCAGACGCACACAAAAAGTAGCCAACATCTTGCCTACAGAGACAGACATGTCACTTAACCTTATCATGGGGACAATTTAATAAGGTGTAAACTACTTTTGCCCACTCAACTGCTTTAACAACTACATGCCCACGTATCTGTGTGCAACTGTGTCTGTGTGGGTGTGTCCGAGGCATGCGGATAAGAGTGTGTTTGTGGCCTCGGTCGTGTAGAGGCCACGAAATCAGACGAGAATACACTCAGACACCCGCCCACTCGTCCAGACGTCCAGGCCGCAACAACTGTCAACTTGTAGCTGTGCCATCTTTGCATCCAAGGCCTATGCAGTCTAGTCGCGGAAACACATAAAAATAGGGAAGATGTTCATGCTATCTGACTTCGTCTGGAGGTGTGTTTTCGGGCTTTTAGGCGAAATGTGAATGTCTTCTGCCCACTTTATTGCCAGTCTGTAAACGGAATATCTTCGCCGTAGAGTCACCGTCGAGACGAACGGCCGAGGCGGGGGGGTTTGGTTTGGCCCAACCGAAGCTCCGAAAGCTCAGCTTGTATGATCCGATTTGACGTGTAAGGTGGAACTCGGGCCGGTATCCAATCTGAGTCCGGAGAAGATGAATTGAGAATGCGAATACAGTTTGGGCTTCGGGCAGTCTCTTGTTCACTCCTCTTCCGCGTTATTCACATTTTTGTTCAGCTCTTCTTGTGTTCTCTTGCATCCTCCTTCTTATCTGCTCTTTCCTTTCC